TGCGGCAACATTTCAACGGTTGATGGATCGATTTCTGGCGCCCCACACTGAATATGCCGCGGCGTACATAGATGATATAGTGGTGTTCACCTCGTCATGGGATCACCACCTCCAAGCGCTCCGAGCTGTGTTGGCTGAGTTACAGAAGGCTGGTTTAACCGCGACACCAAGGAAATGTGCAGTGGTGCACAAATACACCAAATACTTGGGGTTTCTAGTAAGCTGAGGGACCATCAGGCCTTTAGAAGATAAGGTTCAGGCTATTCGTTTATTCCAAGCCCCACAAACAACCAAGCAGTTACAATCCTTTTTAGGCTTGGTAAATTATTATTGCCGATTTGTACCCTGGTTTTCTCAGCTGGTGGCACCTCTCTCAGAGGCCTTAAAAGGGGCACGACAAAAAGTGGTAAAGTGGAACAGAATGATGTTGAACAGCTTCCATGCTTTAAAGGGGGCTCTGTGTGACAAGGTGATAATACACGCCCCTGACTTCAAAAAACCTTTTTCATTACAGACCGACGGATCATCAGTGGCACTTGGGGCTGTGCTGACGCAGCAGGATGCAGGAGAGGACCAACCCATGGCTTATGCCAGCCAAAAACTGTTACCGGCCGAAACAAGGTACGTGACCATCGAACGGGAGTGCCTAGCCATTCAATGGGCAGTGGAACACTTCTGTTATTACCTATTAGGGCGGGAATTTACACTCATAACAGACCATGCACCCTTGAAGTGGCTTAGTACGGCCAAAACCGATAATGCTCGCCTAATGAGATGGGCATTGGCACTACAGCCCTTCAAATTTCATATTGCATATCGTCCGGGAAAGGATAACGTAACTGCAGATTTCCTCTCTAGGTGCAATGAGGCCTCAGATGTTGATGTGCCTGGCCAGAGTGGACAAAGTCATCAATGGGGCACAGATACTGGTGAAGCACGAACTCGGAAACCGCCACAAGGCAGCTGGCGGGGGGGGGTTATGTTCCGGGACCCGCGGAAACCAAGAAAACTTACTGGGAGAGCAGGACGCCACGAAGGAGGGAGAGCCCATGTGACTCGTTAGCTGCGTCTATGTACAGCTGCAGCCAGCAGCTGACGGTGACGTCAGCCGCCAGCCGGGAGATTTAAAAATGGCGGCCACCGCTCCGGAGGCAGCGGAGGGAGAGGGGAACAAACGGCGGGCAAAGCCGTCCCTACCGTTAGCCCAGCGGGACAGGAGCTGCCGAGCCAAAGAGCTGGAGAGTCCGGTGGCCGGGAGAAGAGGCGGG